CGGTAGCAACGAGTTACAAGTTCCGCAGAAATGCAGGGGGCGTCCATAAAAGCCGGGGGGGAGGCCCTTGGACGGTCGATAACCATTATTATGCGCAGCGTGCGGCCGTTCCGCTCACCCGGGCTCCGCACGCCTGGCCTCCCTTCCCGACATCGGAGGGATGACTAACCACAGCTACAAGGGGGCTTCCGTCATAGTAGTACACATTTGGCGCCCTTGGAAGCTTCCATGTGCCCCTCCCGCGTGTTCACTCGGAGGCGCCCATATGCCGTTTCCATAGGCCGGGAACGATCCCGGCTGGTAACAATCCCGGCTTATGGTGGGTGGGTGGGTGTGTTTGCCTCTGGGGGGGATGGTCGGGCTTAGGGCTAGGTTCGGTAGGCGGGAGACCCCCGGATGAGCTGTTTGCTGTTGTAATAGGATGGTGGGAACAAGTACTTTTCTCTGCTAGGCGGGTTATTATTTCCCTGCATGGGTAATGACACAATGTGCACGCACCAACCCGATCAGATTCTGTCATTTCCCTGTTACTCCTCTTTAACCCCCTTCCAACTCGTGCTGTATGTGAGCCCTCTTCCACTGCCATATCCTGCCCCATGTATTCATATGGGTCAGCAGGTGAGACGGGTGGGCCAACAAGGCATGGGGGACTGACCGCAGAGCCCGCAGAGATATATGTGTGCGTGTGAGGCCCGAGCCAGCGGTATCTCAGCATCATATCCTAGCCCTGGACTGACTGAGTGCGAATCGCCAGGAACTATCATTTGGGTTAGTGACCTATGTATAGCCTCCTTCGGTGTGCATGTAAAGAACAATGTGACCCTCGATAAACCCATTTGGAACGTGTGCCTTTAAAATGCTAGCTAGCTCGTGTCACTCTGGTTCGCGTGCGCGAAGGCGAGCTCGAGGCTGGCTAGGTGCCATATCTTAACTGACAGTTTTCTACGTGAAGCGTTGAAAACTAAGGTTTTCTGCGAATACGGAGTGTCTTTGCCGTATGGCGTACGAGCCAGTGTGGCTCTTGTGTCGCAGCACGCGACAGTGTTGGCTAATTCGGGTTGTTCGTAGCTACGTTTGGGTGCTGCCGTGAAGCGGTTGGTCTGTAGGCCTTGGTGATCCGCTTCGTGGTAGTGTGCCCTCACCCGGCCCTACCCTTTCACGAAGACGTTCTTTCCTTGCGTGCAGGTACTTGTTTGTAACGTAGTCTTCGCATGAAAACCACTCGGCAATGCCCATGTTGGCATCGCAATCAAGGCGGCGCATTTCCGTTGACGGTTTCCCCCCTTCCTCCACTCGCCCTCGCGCTCGCCATCTCTCGCCACCAGGTGCAGCTTTGCACCGTCCAATAAGGCGTTTTTGGGGGCCACGTGTGGCATGATCGACATGTCAGGGTGAGAGCTGCCGCCACCCTACTGAAGCAGTCCTGTGCCATGTTACGGAGTTGAAGAAGTAGTCGGTGAAACAACGGGGCTCATAACCTGTTAAGACCAGCAAAGCGCCGGACCCCCGTTGGGTCCTATTACTGTGGCTACCATTCACTGGTATATGAGTGTCGGTCATTTCCAACACTACCAGCAGCACAGCAACAGCAATAATAGCAGCCACACCCAGAATAACGGACAACAGTCATCAACAACACCAACAGTACAATATCCGTTGCGTTGTATCTTCTCCTATTTGGGCTCCCGACCTCGTTCCTTAACATGATGATTCTGAAGGTGGGTCTGTATGTCTGTCCTTCTGTGAGTCAGTTACTTCCGTTATAGCTCGAGTCTTGGGCTTACCCCGGGTCATCCTTTACAGGGGCTTTGGGTAGACCACGACCTAAACAGCCGGCGCCTGCTGTGTGAGACATGATTTGCTTGCTCCCGTGACCATGCAAAGTGCCTGCGTGGGTTTGCGAAGTGCCGAGGGAGCTTTATACGCCGTGTGGGATCCACTTCCTGAGCTGCGCGCTCTTAGCGAGGTCTCTGCCGGCTCTCCCTGGAGTGCTCGCAATACTCTGTACATACATACGGACAGGTTCGCAAGCCGCAAGCTGAGCCAGTTACTACGTCTGCACAGATACCGAGGTCTATTCGTTGCCGTACTGGCACCATACGGTTTGTCAAGATATGGAATTCCCGGTAATGAAGTGAACACGTCTGTACTGATGTCTGTGGATGTCTGTGGTGCAGATTGTGTGTAAATGTACGCGGCACGTAAATGTAAGAATGTAATGTAATGTAATGTTACAGAGTGGGAGGCTTCTGGGCCGCTTTATCACATGTAAGAATGTACGTGATATGGGAGTATTTCCTTAAGAGCTGCCGCTGTGCATTTATAATGCGCTCGCTGTGCACACGCCGTTGTCCTCCTTGGTGATTAGATTATGAGGTTGTACGGCAGCTGGCACTGCTGAAAAGGCCTCTCAAGATGCTGCGAAGAGTGGAGCGCCTTAGCGCGTATTCATAGGCGTTATGTGTGCCGTGCTGTGTACCAGCTATTATGGGATATCAGGGGTGCGTGAAGTGATCGTTCTCCATTTGGATCGGCGACTGCTCGGGGTCCCCAGCAGAACAAGTGGACACTACTAATACATTCTTTGCAATACTCGTATGTTACGTTATCGTACACTTATTGCTGTCTCTACTCGCCGTGGACATGGAGCAGAGTTATTGTGGGCTGCCGTACGGCAGATCCGGTACGGCTTTTGAGATTACTGGACGAGCTTGTCGATGTGACGGGACTGCACGGTACGGAGCTGTTTCCGCGCTTCACGAACACCATATAAGGAAATTCTTGAGTACATTTGACGACGTTTGCACCTCCTAAGGATTTGCGTAACACAATCCTAACGGGTTAGGTCCATGGCACGAGGCTGGCTTTGCAAATGTAGCGTTCGAGTAGTAGTTTCAAGATTTCAAAGTCTTGTAGGCGGCCTGCAGCTGTCTTCTTACAGGATGTGAGCAGCTAGGGATGCAAAGCATAATCGTTTGCAGTTTCGCAACACACACGTTAATATCACACTCACCATCATGGTTCTTGTTATTTGGCCAACATGGTTGCGAATGTGAGGCAAACATGAGACAGCTTGTGTTCGACACGGACACGGGCCGGATCAGTCAAAATTTGGATTCAGAGCTTCCGCCCCCTACCTACCCCCCAACCTATAAGAACCCCATCCAGCAGCTTAATCGAATCCCCGCAATAGAGCCGCAACAAGACCTGCAACACAGGAGTGGAATTGCATGCAAACACAAAAACAACTAATGGAGCAACACACCTCACATCTCAATCCCCCTGTTGGTTGGAACAACATTTCTTTGGTGATGCATGGCCGAAACGTCACGCGAACGTCGCACGGCACAACCATCAAAATCCGGATTTCACTCTTCGCGCACTCTAGCGCACCCTGTCAGTTTCTGAGGACGTTTTTCCTGTACGCGCTGCCGTACAGTACGGCCAAAATGTGCCGCCCTTTGTACACTTGTCCTGGAATAAGCGTCTTAGAATCAGCGTTCCCATTACCACACACACATGAATCCACTGCTGCTCCTCGCACCACGGGGATGAAGCCCACCCACTGCCGACAAACATACAGACCTTTCAATCGCCCTTCTCCGCCTAGGCGGGGCGACCCCGGATCGAGGGCAGTTGCCCCCTCACCTCGTTAGCAATGAGGGGAAAACCCTAACTAAGCCGCCATAGCTTCCCCCCCGCATTAGGGGTATCCTCCAGTGACGTACACAGAGCAGACTTTGCCATCTGCCACGTCCCCCCCACTACACACTACACACACATACACATACACACGAATCGACCCACTCACACCCCAGCCAGGTCACGGGCGCTGGGCTCCCGTAGCATGTCGAGCAAGCGGGGGGGGAAGGGCGTCACGTACCGCGGCGGCGCGATGGTGGCCACCGCCGCCGCCGTCTCCTCCGCCGCACGCTCCAAGCCGTGTGGCCCCAGCACCTCACGCGCCGCCTCGTCCAAATCGGCAGGAACAGGCGGCAGCTTCGCAGCGGCGGCGGCGGCGGCGGCGGCGGCATGATCCACGTCAGCCGCCGCGCCGATAACACACTTGCCGCAGCTGCGGGGGCCGCCGCCCCGCGGAGACGACACCGCGTGGTTGTCGTACGTAGCAGCAGCAGCGGGTCCTGGCGGTGACGTCGCGGGGTCGTCAGCGTCGCGAATGACGGACGGCATGGCCGCGGCCGCGGCGGCGACCTCGGCGTCGTGTATCGCAGTGGCGGAGTCCGGCACCAGGCCGCCGTCAGCTGGCGCCGGCGGCGCATCCACGTCGGGGTCATCCCACGCCCAGTCAGCGGCACCGGCGAAGCACGACACGGCGGCCGCTCGCATGGAGCCCGGCGGCGGCGCGCCCGGCTTGTCGTACACGTAAGCGCCAGGTGAGCCAACCCGGCCGCCGTCGTCGTCAGCGGCGGCGACGTCCGCATCATCTGGTTGTGGTGTCCCTAGGGGAGCGATGACAGCTGACGTGGCGTTCAGTAGCAGCTGATACCCCGGCGGCACCCGTTCATTGACGTCAGCGTACGGAATGTCAACAGTACATTCCGCGGCGGCGCCGCCGTCCGCACTCTCGCCGTCGCCGCCACCATCGTACTGGTCCTCTTTGCGAATATTCTCGTGAGCGCCGATGGCCGCCGCCGCCTCCGGTGATGCCTGCAGGGCTGCGGCGTACGAACGCTGGACGTTTCCGTACACCGCCGCCATAGCGGCGGGGTCTCGTGCCGCTGCGGTAGCCTCCCGGGGGGTCACCTTGCTGGGGAACGCAGCGGGAAACTTGTCCTCACCCGTGCCGTACATTCCAGGGCCCTCCTGCTCTGGCAGTTCCGTTCGCGCCACGTCTGCCGCTGCCGCCCCAATCTCTATGTACGGCATGAGGTGGAGAATTACGCATCCTCAGGAGCTATGTGCCGATGGTGGTAACGCGAAGTACACCGAAGTACACGCGAAGTACAGAAGTTAATAAAAAAGCGGTTGTACATCCGTACATCCGTACATCCGTGTAACCGTACAGCCGCCCTCACTCTGGAATCCAGAACCCGGTGCAGGAGTTCATCATCGGATCTCGCAATGACGTCATGCTCAAGGCCCTGAGGACCCCCCCTCCCCCCCCTCCAGGTAACGATGGCCTCAAGAGGCCCCCAACCCGCACAGGCCCCTCTTAGCGCGGGCAGCTCGCAACCCCCCTACGGCCCTACGTGCCGTCACCCCTCCTCCCTCCTCATGTGCCGCCTCGGCCTCCGCCTCCGCCGCCAGCCAGGGGCCAGGACCCCCGCGTCGCATTACATTACATTCATAGAGTCTTCGAAACTCATCTATAGCTTCTAGAGCACTGGAGATACCAGATTCCCGTACACCCACCCGCCCCCAAGCAAACAGGCCCCCACCACCCCACCCACCCGCCCCCACACGCACCCTCCATTGCGCGCTCCAATGCAGTGGCGGCGGACACCAGGGCTGCCTCGCCCTCATCGCCCTCACCGCCCTCAGCACCGCCACCTCCACCGCTTCCAGCTGCTCTAGCCCGAGCCCGAGCCCGAGCCCGAGCCAGACTGCCCACGGACGCCATCGCCGCCGCCAGAAGCCTCTGGGCGCCCCCCGCTTGGCCTGAGGGTGGGGCGGGAGGTGGGGCGGGAGGTGGGGTCTGAGGGGGGCCAAATTCAGGTGCCTGTGCCCATCCTGCCCTCTTCCCCTCCCCCAATCTCTAATCTCCTCCCTTCCCCTCCTCTCCCCCCCCCCGCACTCACCCGTATGCGGTCTGAGGTCCAGACCGGCACTGGGTACCTTGGCCAGCCCCCCACTCGCCGTCTGAGTCAGCAAACCACCGCCAGTGGGACCTGCAGGACCAGTAGGGGCTGGTGACATCATGGCCCAGTGGCCCGTATATCGTACGTAGGTGGGGAGATGGGGAAAAGGGAGAAGGGGCAAAGCGAGATGTGTGTTGAGCTGGCATGGGGAGAGCCGGTTCAAGAGCAGCGAATGGCCGTTACGGTCGCTCGCCTTCCTTCCCCCTGCTGCTAATGGGCACTGATTGGCTACTCTTCCGAGTCTGCTGTGGCGGCGGCGGCAGCAGCAGCAGCAGCAGCAGCAGCTTACCAGCAGGCGGAGGCGTGGGCGGGAAAGACGAGGATGCGGGGGGCGGTATCGGCTCCGCCGCCGCTGCGGCACCGAAGGCGGTGGTCAGCCGGTGGGCCGCCAGCTCCAGGGCTCCCGCCACCCCCCGGGAGGGAGCGCCCTGGGAGGCCAGACGGGTAAGTACGGCAGCCGCGGCGCTGGCGGCGGAGGCTAAGTCCGACGGCGGCTTGGCGACCGCGCCGCTACAGGTGCCGTAGCCGCAGACGCCGGCGGTGGCGGTGGCGGTGGCGGTGGCGGTGGCGGTGGCGGTGGCGGTGGCGGTGGCGGTGGCGGTGGCGGAGGTGGCGGTGGCGGCCTGTGTGCGGGCGGCAGTACCGGGGCGGTATTCGCGGCAACCTGGGCTGTGTGACGTGACATGCTGCCTGGATGATGATTTGGAGAGGACGGCGTGCGTGGTGGTGGTACGAGCATTGACGGTGATTGAGGATATACCCGTGCATGGGGGTCAAGGAGGGGTGTATGTGTGTGTGTGTGTGTCTGTGTGTGTGTCTGTGTGTGTGTCTGTGTGTGTGTCTGTGTGTGTGTCTGTGTGTGTGTGTGTTAAACCAAATTAGCCAATCAGTCCTGACGTCCTTTGCCCAGGCCTCCCAACCCCTCTCCCCTCCCCTATCCCAGTTGGGCAACCACATTGGAAATATGTGGGACCCAGATGCCGTACACTCCGACATACTTGGAACAGCCTTAGTAACCCTTGCGGGCGCTCACGCCATCCCAATAAACATTCCCGTTCTTATTGGCCGAATGGAAAGCATTGTATCCTCGTACTCGTGCTTGGCCTCATCACCTGCTGTCGAGGTTCGGCCCAAGCCGTGTTCGTGTTCGCCCCAACCAGCGCCAACACCGCCATCGCAACCCCTACCTCCAGTCGTGTATGTGCAATATGGCGCCACCATAGGACCTTCACAGGACCGACACACCTTACCTCGTCCTCGTCCTTATGAAGAGGAATCTCTTCAGCTCGATTTTCAGCTTGATGTACAGAATTTAAATTCAGATCCAGCAAACGCGGTGGGGCGTCGAGGATGTCGCCCTCCTGAAATTCTCCCCCTTGAGCTGGGACAGGCGCTGCCGGCGCCAAATCGTCGGCGCCAAAGTCCAGCTGTCGAGCTCCTTTGACCAGTTCCGCTGCGGTGCCCTCGTACATCAGGTGTCGGCCAGGAAGCGGATTGAGAGCTGCGGTCAAAGCTGTGTCGCCGCGCCCGTCCTGATCCGCGTTAAACCTCACATCAGGGGCATCTCGCGGGGACATCTTGTCTGACGTATTTGAATTTTCCAGAGCTAAGGAATTTAAAAACTAGGGATGCCACAGTCAGGAGTTCAAACTAGGACGTTGACGAGCCGATTCTCCGAGAGTAAGTCAGGTTTCGGAAAGAGCCTTACGTCCAGGGACAAAACAATGGGGAAACAATTTTCCTTTTGATAATTCTTTATTCCTGAAGACTTGTTGAATTAGGCCCGAGCGCGCGCGAGGAGGGTCTCGTTGGACGCGTGCACGCTTCCGCTTGGACTGCTGTCGCTGCTGTTCGTCGGCTATAAGCTGGTAGGGACGCAAAAGATGGTCGCACAGTTCGCTACGTTTTCGTGGTCCGGGCCGATGTGCGCGGGAAAGGTGTGAAGGTTTTGCTGAGAGGGCTCAAAGGATCACGCTGCGGCACCAGGGGATTCCTTACTCGGTTTGCTCTGGGGATTATCGGTCATTCGGTCTTGTCCAAAAAAGAAAGAGAGCAAGATTTATATAATTTGCCTCCTGATGCACTGATGAAGACATTCCGCGCCGATGACTCAGGCTTGTTACTCGTATCCGCAATCGATGAGTGACTAATTACGCTAGCTTTGTGCCAACTGTGCAACTGTTTGGGGCCACGATATAGATACACGCAGGCAATCAAGGAGCATCAATGAAGCGCTCTTTTCCACATTAATGTCTCTATTTTGTTTGTTCTCATGTGCAGCAGAATGGCGACCCCTGGGTCTATGGATGAGTTTATTGGTCAATTGGTCCAGATTGGTCGAATTATTCACCCAGCCGTTCATACATGTACACAAACAAGACCCAGTTGACCATTCATTAGTTTGCTTGGCGCTCTTTGTGGCTTTCCCCTAATATTTGCCTAAGGTCAGCAGCAACATCTCGACAGATCTAACACGCCCGTTTGCTTCCTTGCCTGTCACCTCGTTTACACCAAAAAACCTGTAACACCAAGCAATAATGACACACATGACCCCGGAGCAAAAGGAGGAGATTGCGCAACAAAAGTTCGGCCGCACTTACGAAGAACTGGTAGGCGAGGCAGGTAGCTAACATTTACATTTTGCTGCCCCTTCGCAATCGCCACTCTACCTGGTGTATATAGATAGCTAAAGTCATCATGGGTGGCCATCATGAGCCTGTCGGATGGTATGTGTTGTAGGCTGCCGCTGCCGCTGCCGCTGCCGCTGCCGCTGCCGCTGCCGCTGCCGCTGCCGCTGCCGCTGCCGCTGCCGCGACGGCACAGCTTATTGCCCATAATAAGCAGCCCATTAATATCTTCGTTCAATACTTAAAACCGGCCCCTGCAAACGCTGCTGATGCAATCTTGGTGCTGGTGCTGTTGTTGCTGCGCGGCCCTCCTTGCCATCGCCTCCACTGACCCTTCAGGAGACTGACGAGAAGAAGGCTGTGGGTGGCCAGTTCAGGCAAGCGCATGCATGGGGTTGTTGAGGCATTCGGTGGCTGAGGGACAGAAGCGGCGAGGGTGGAATGGCGCATGCACCCAACAACGAACTTCGCGTAAAATGTACGGCAGAGTACGAGGGATCAGTTCCCGGGGTCCCTCATTCGGCTCCACTACATTCGCCAGCAGGGACGTACATCAGAAGGTGCATGCGCGCGCTCTAACCAAATTCGTGCCTGACCTGTCGGCGAGGCTGTGGTTTCCAGATAATGTATTGTTGCCCCCGGTCGACGCTCTGCCGCCGCAACTGCATCAACTGCATGCCCGGCCTCCGTGCACTTGGCCAAACACACAGGTCTCCTATCTTTGTCCTAGTACAGTATCTTCTCTCCGTTGAATCCGCGATGCGGCTTTACGCTCAAATCCTTCTTTTGCTGCTGCCAGATGTCTGCTATGTAAATGCCCGTGTGCCGTAGTGTGCCCGTAGTGCCGCTGCTACAGCCTTGATGCGCTGCTCCGGTGACTTGCATGTGCCCCTATATGTGCGCGGCTACTGCTCCTCTGCTCAACCGCTACTGCTACTGCTCCCTGTCCAGAGCCAATGAGCTCGGGCACGAGGGATACAGCGAGATGGGCAAGATGGGCGGCAAGAAGGGCGGCTACTCCACAGGCTATGCACACGATCCGGAAGTGCAGAAGAAGTACACAGACCGGACTGGCAATGAGACGGCCATGGAGTAGAGCTGTTGGCTAGAGAGGCCGTGCTGCTGGCGGCCTGGGATTTGTAGGAATAATGCCGCGCAGCCGAATGGCCGTGCAAAGTACGTTACAATGGCCGTGCAAAGTACGTCAGCAAGGCAGGAAGGCAGTAAGGCAGTAAGCTGAAGGGAACGGGCGCGGGGCCGGGTGTTGGGGGCGTTGACGGAAAATATAGGTTTCTTGGTTTGGAAGGTCGGTTTGTTGGTTACAAGGTTGGTGGGGAAGGTTGATCTGCCTTGTTCAGTAGCCACTTAACTGGATGGCGGATGGCGGATGACCAACTAACTGTTTCGGTTGCTCATTGGTTGTGTTAGAGTTGTTGGCTGACGTACTGGGGGCCGGATCTAGGCGTACGGCCCTTAATGCGAAAGGTATATCAGTCTGCCGGCGAAAGGTATATCAGTCTGCTTGCAACAGCGGCTCGCAATGGGGAAGCTTGAAATAGCGCGTTACATGTTTCACGGTGGACGCAAGGACGCGTCACTCGCAAAGCCTCTCTTTCTCTCTCTGGACTCCGTGATGAATGACGGTGAATGACGAGCGCCACGGATTCGATCGAGTCGAGCGCACTGCCCGCATAACCCACAAGGTGTGGAGCAGGACGGGGAGCCAAACAGCGCCAAACAACCAGAGACGTTTCCCATGGAGCCCTTTTTTTCCCTCCAGTGAGATGGGTAATAAATGAAAGAGGATACAAAGGCCTAGATGGGGTGTGAAGTTGTTGATGGATGAAGCAAGCGCTAAGGGGACTATTCCTGAGAGGAAGAGAAGTATGCCGCTGGGTTTCTTATGCAATTCGAGCCGCAACACTTGTACGGCTGGACGACTCCTTTGCAATCCTCCTTCCCGCATCTTTACCAACTCTAAACTGGTCACACAAAGAAGGAGCCGGGGCTCCCAGGTGTACTGCAGGGGCCATTTAAAAATGTACGTGCGCAACCTGCTGGAGATGGGTCATTTTTTATCGTGCACACTCACTTCTTCATTCATTTACGCAACCATCGCACACTTGAGCTTTAGTGTCCAATGAGATCGCTGGGCGAGTGTGACCCCTTCGCCTCAATTACCAACTGCCATCCACTGATCCAGCCAAGTATTGCGGTAAAACTCACGCAGGCCTCAATCGCAGGACAGCAATAACAGTATGAATAAATTTTCTAAATCACTCCAGCGGACTCCCGGGCCTGGGACGAGGAATTGCAAGCGGTCGGAGTTCTGTCTCAAAATCTGCACTGCTGAATGTTCTACCCTAGGCTTTATCAAAGAAACAAATCCTACCCTCCTACCCTCCCTGCGTAAAGGGAAGATTAAAGGCACAAACGGAGAAGTTGCGACATCAGCGTTTACGCTGCTGGGGCTGGGGAGGGACTGGGTGTAAGCTTCATGGGCGGCTTCCACTTCCGCGGCAGTGGTGGCGGCTTCCGCTTGGGTGGGGGCGGGGGCTTCTTCTTGACCGGTGGCTTCGAATTGGAAGGTGGGATAGAAGTGAGCGGAGGCGGGCTGGGGGTAGCCTCGGGCGACGGCGGGATGTCGGACTTCGGGCCTGGGGATGTTAAATGAAATGGCGGCGAGTGGAAAGAGGTGAAATGGACAGAACGTTTAGAGGGACATCAGACCCCAGCGAAACGGGCCAATCAAAGGATAATTCCACGTCGGCATGCGTCCGGCACGCATCTGAGGTGCCGCTACAGGTGTCTGTCCTTGTTACAAAAGCTTGCTACGGCACTTGTTGCTGCCGGTGCCTATTGCCGACCCTGGTTCACTCACAGCTTGCGGCGGCGCACGAGCTGTCCACAGTCAACGTAACGCTCGCCTGGGCCCAGGTGCCGGGATATCCCCGGGATGCGGACGTCACCCGGAAGTTGATATCAGCTGCGGAGAGGGGCGGGAAGCAGCGGGGCCCAGCACGTGGACATGCAGGACAGCCGGGGACAGATAAACATACGGGTTACGAGTTACGGTTGGTACAATGGAGTACGACAAGGGAGACCAGCGGCCAGTGATGGATATTTGGAGGTGACGAGCGAGTCCTCGCCCGTCTCACTATCCCCAGTCAGTGCGTGAGTCCATCACCACCTCACCTGAGGGGTTGCACGGCACAGCGTAGGTGGCGTTGAACAGCATTGCCGCCCGAGTTGATATCGACCCACCCCAGTCAACACGGTTGGGGCTGTATGGAGGTGCAGTAGAGCGGGAAACGAGGGCAGGGGGCCGGAACGGAAATTCAGCGGAATTTCGGAGACAGGCCGTGTGCCAACAGCTATGGAAGCCGCAGGAGGGAGCCCGTTAAATAATGATGACGGCGCTGTGTTCGAACGTGATCTTCTGGTTTGGACACATGTACATTGCATTTCCATGACGATCCGCAGTCCACGTACAGCAATGCACAGCCAAGCATATCGAATCACAGCAGCCGCTGTTGCACCCACCATCCCGGTGTTGTTGCTGGTGAGGTAAAGCGGCCTTCGGATGAAGACAGCAATACCAGGCTGGGGAGGGGGAAGGAGCCCTGGGGACGGTCGACATGTGTTTTGTGGATAGGATGTAATTCAGTACGCATTCTATAGATGGGTGGTTCCTGACTTCCCATAATTCCCATCCCGTCACAGTTGCGCATTGATGTGATATCTCGTCTTTCTTCGTTCATTGTGGAGGCAGAGGCAAAGACTTAAGCTGAGCAGCAGCCATTTGGCGACCAAGTACGACGTGTTGTCTTCAGGGCGACCAATCCGTATGAATGACCGTATCTACCGACTGCTGCACAGATTGAAGTTGTGTGCGCACCTTGAGGGCGTAGCTTGCGCCAGGACACAGGCTCGACACAAGGTCGCCGGCGGCGTTGCGGAACTCAAATGTGATGTCCGGATCCAGCCGAGGCGCGCCATGTGGGCTCTCCAACCAGAAACCGTCAACTTCCAGTTCCGGATAGGCGCGTTCCGGATGCGCATGGCAAAAATTGCCTTCAGGCATAACACCCTGGGACGGGTCCCACCAGTATTTGGGGTACCCATAAACTGCCGAGAGGAAGGCGAGCAAGGAAATTATAGCTGGAACTATGGCCCGAGCCTCTGGCACCATTATGGTTTTTGGCATTTCTCAGTAGCTGTGTGCGCAACGGTAAACTAACGTGTGCGCGCGCGCACTGCACGCATCTGATGGCTCAGCAGCGCAGCAATATCATGTGTTGACATTTACATAAATAGCATATTTGTTTTTCCATGATTTGTCTTTCCTGATGTAATGTTTTGGTACAACTTTAGTACCGGTGCAGTTACTTTGTCAAGCGAAGCGCTGTCTGGTGTTGCAACAAGCCTGCTGCTCATCATTCAGCGCGGAAGCTCATTCATGTTATTTGCGCTTATAGTCGTTTCAATATTCAACTCGTCGCGCTATGTGTATTTGTGTTAGTCGAAAAAGGAAAAGGACGACTCAACAAGCATAGGAGCACCGAAAGCATCCAAGAAATGGTAACACCGCTCAAAACATGAAAACATACCCCGTCAGAATGTGGGTTGTCAGAAGAATGCGGTCAAGCAAGTCCCATCTATCTATCCGTCCTTACGCAGCTTAAGCTTCTCAGAATGGGCCGTTGTTAGCTTCTTGAGAAATTCGCTTAAGATCACTATGGGACTGCATGTCAGTAACGACTTCAGTGCGTTACCCCGTTTGTGACGTAAAGGCCATCTCCTATCTATCCGGGGCGTCGGACAACGAAGCAGCATTCGGAACCTATCGTCCGGAAGGCGACCCTAATCATCTACGACACGTTCTGACACTCCTGTCAGGGCATTCAGATTATGTCATATACCGGTATACCTGACGGCGTAGGCGTGCAATGATGAACGTACGTACTGACGGAGCCTTACAGAATCAGATGTTGGCATTTAAAGTCGTAGGAGGAAAAATAATAGTGCCGCGACAATTTTGTGCCAAATCATTACAGGCCACGAGCTCAACATATGTGATTGCTTCTCCCCCATTTCGCCCCGCAGCAAACAACTCGTTATTCGACCCATATTAACACATTTCCCACCCACCATAAGCATCTCGAGACATGTGCGCAGTCCTGGGAAGTCGGCGCGGCTGAGACAAGGTACGGGGAAGGCTAGGCCTAGGGCTTCGTGGGCAGTAAGTCACCACCGTGGCTGTCCCGGGCTTCGTGCTTCACAAACGCGTGCATGCGGGCGCGTGGTACTGGCACGTTTCCCTTTGGTATAGATGCAGGGCAGTAGCGGCCGTGCCGCATACAGGCGCTTTGTTTAACAATCGGCAGGATCACGGGTGCTACTAGGCCGGGAAAAGCCTGAAGATTGTGGAAGTCATACCATTCTGAGGCGTTGAAATGTTGGGCCTTGGTCGAGAAATTTGAAATCCAGGCGACTACGGGCGACGACGAATTCCCTCAGGTACAGCCTACAGCACGAGAAAAATCCCGACGATATCAAGTTGCCCTCATCTGATTCCACGGCGTCTGGGCTGGAGCACCTGAACAGTTTCAGTGTCGAAGGAATTTCCGGAAGTACGGCAATCCAAAAAAAATCAAGCTATTTGCGCATCAATAAAGACCACGACCCACCACACCCTGCCATTCCATTCCGGACTTGCCGCAATCTTCTATAAGGATTTGTCACCACACGTAATCCAGTGAGCCGATTGCCTGGCAAGCTTTTGATCTTCGCGCGCTTACGTTGGCGGCGTTAAAGATCTTTCAGAAGCCATGACTGCCGGCGATGCAAGCCACGATGCCAAGGAGGATATGTCTCGGCTGCTGATGGGCCGCAGCTTCGATTCGCTGAAGCCGCACGAGAAGGGTGCAGTGCTGGGTGCTCTCAGGTGCGTCCGGGAACTACTCGGCCAATACGCAAGGGCGAAGGGAGGGTGAAGGATGTTGTATTGACGCCTCTGGACGGCGCCGCCATGCAACTGCAAGCGACGCGAGACCTGAACCTACCTGTGCGTTTGATCATCTTACTATGCGTCTTGCTTTGCAAATAGCTTTAACCCGGGGTAGGAGCTTCCTTTCTGTTTTGGACTATTGATTGTGTATGCAGCGGGTAATAAAATTATTTCGCCTGGAATCCGCAGGAAGCACGCTGGCCACGAGGCCGAGGCACGCGGCAAAGCAGGCATACCAAGTCCGAAGTAAGTGAAAGGGGTGATAGCGAAAAAGGATGTCGTGCCCAGCTTTGACGCAAAGAGACGTGAGTAACTGGGCTGTTGCCACGTCATAACGTAGCCTCGACCCGTCGGATGCCCTGCGGCGCGACGGCCGGCAGAACGCGGTAGCATAATCCGTTCCTGCTACCATTATTATTTAACCATTTCATTACGCCCATGAACGTTAGAGAGATGTTAAGGCGATTTTTGTCCTTTCCAGTGCATTTGCATTTCATGGCTGACTTGCTGGGGGGCCCGGACCATACAATTATTATGCTGCATACTTGCTTCCCACGCAGCGACATGCCACGACCGCAGCACATGGGCAAGATCATCCGCTGAGGGCTGCTGGGCTCTTGGAGAGGGTCCCCGGCTCCCCTTGGAGCTGTTAGGCAGCAACGCACGGCATGAGAGATTCCTAGCAAAGCGAGATCGCACCGAAATTGTGGTGATGTCGAGCGCTTGGGCTTCGAGAAGGGAGGAGCAGGAAGGCAGATGAATAGGGTTGTGCTTGGCAGTTGCAAATAATCAAGATGTTGCACGCAAGGAAAATGCGCGAAGTTGTTTCTGGCTTAAAGGATCAGCACTGCATTAGGTAACGCATTCACCCTCTGCCGATGAGGTTAGTGGTGCGTGGGTTGCGTTAGTTAGGTAAGGCACGCCGTCGTGGCACACGAATAGCATTGTAGGTCAGTCGGAACATTTGTAACGACATCAGCATCATATTAAATAGTACCAGCAGTTCCAGGTCCAAGCTACGAACGATGGTGCCTACCTTTTAACGGCATCCTAGGGTTAAGAGACATGCATGGCATTTCAGGGTTTGCGCTCTTGCAAGAAACTGCCGAAAGGATGCTGACCTTTCGCTTAAGGGATCAACAGCCAAACCTAACAGGGAAGTGATTGCTAGGCTAGCGCTACATTGCGAAGAGACTTCTCACAGACCGTGTGCAGAATTCTTATTTGTATCTTACAACGCTTTACACTCGTCCGATTCGTTGGTCAGTTCGAAAAGGGGGGATTTATCCGCCCTTGCATGCGTCACCACTTAATCATGGAAGAGTCCTAATAGTCGTCGCTACGAGGGTAGCTCTCCTAGCCACCACACACGCGGGTGGCCTTGCAGCCTGCAACGGCGGACTTCTACCTGCCCCACAAACGCCTGAAGTCGTGTGTCATACGGATGCACACCCAAATCGCACTCACGCAGGTCAACTCCCGCTGGCGGTTAGAGGTTTGCAGGATCCGCACAACAGCGGCGCTGCTGCAGAGCCAGAGGGCGTCACATAATAAGCTTCATGTCTTCTTTGCACTGCAGAACCTACATTACGACAGTCGTCGTGGGCCCCTAAATCACAGCAGCATGCACGCGCGAATATCCTTGCGATACCCGGGCTACATGAAAGCATCACATGCGTTCGTTCCGTGGTTTAATGCTATTCCTGCATTCCTGCAACCCACCTATCCCTTGAGCACGCTTGCGAACACTCCGTCCCCTTTATGAAAAACACTGGGAATTGCTCTACAGGCGGCGCAGGACTGCCCACGCCCCGCCTCGGTATGAAATTATGTGTGCGCACCTGTCAGTACGGTGTCACGCCGTCCGCTTCAGTCACGCATAATGCACTTTCGAGTCACAATCTGCGCTGCGTTAACTACAGGCCTCCACAACCCATTGGCCGGAGGACCAACCGCAGCGGCGCTGCACGCCCGTCGCCGTGCTGACAGCCCCCAGCATGATGACGTAGGTTATGTTTTGGCAAAGTGTGGTTTGGGCCATGGGCCTCGGCAATTTCCCCCATCTAGACTCCTCCCCCTCCACTCCGGATCAGATGCAACACCGACTTACCCCATGCTACAGAAAGCACCTCGATTCTGCTGCGTCATTAACCCGTCCCACCGCTCCCGCTCCCCCTTACTTAGACACGCCGCGTCCCGCAGGCCCCGCCCCTAGCCGCGTCGACGCAGCCCCACCGCCCGTAGTGGCGCCGCCACCTGTCCGTGCCACGCCCGTTCGGTTGTGTAAACCCGCCGGCATCTGGCTGCTGCGAGTAGAGGCCCGCTCGTCGAGGTCCCCAGGGCCGCCGGGCCCCACACCCGCGGCCGATCGTGCCGCCGTCTTGTGTGCGATGACGTTAATCTCATTCAGCAGCGATCGGCCCAGATCGTCTAGCTTGGCCCCTAGCGAACCGGGCGGATCAGGTGCCGCTGGATCTAGGCCAATGTCCGCCTCCGAGACCATCTTGTGGCCGCGACGGCCCTTCTTTCGCCCGCCTGTGGGCGCGTCGTCGTCATCATCGTAAACGCCCATGCCTTGAAGGAGCTTCATGGGATTGATCTGTGGTCCAGCGAAAGGAGCGCGCGGCGAACAACACACATGCAGCGGCAGGGCGGCTTGTTCAGTGAGCGCGTCGGCGAGTTGGTTAAAGGGCGGGTTGGAGACAGCGAACCCGGACGGCATGCGGGATGAAGGGTCGATGAGGAGGGAGAGTGGCACCGTGAAGGCCACGGAGGGATGCGCGGATGGGTAGGAGTGCGACAAAACGGGGCCTGCGTGGGATTTTTCCTCAAGGCCACCAGCCGATGCCGTGGGATCCTGCAAGCTGTCGTGCCAGCAAAGTTGTGGCGCGGCAGGAATGCCTTCACGCTTAGTCTTAAAAGCATCCCTCCCTGTGCCGCGCTGCTTCCGCTGCGCCCGCCAACGTTTCACCCTCAGAATCCCCTCCTCCTCACATCAGTAAGGGCCTTGGGCATCTCCAGTGGATGCGCCTTCTCGTACTCGGACACAAAGTGCTCCTCATCGTCATCGTACTCGAGCAGCAGCATGTTGGGCGTGGCGCCACCCTCGCCGCCGTTCCCTCCCGCGGCGCCGCCGGCCGCCTTGCGGTCCTTTGGCCGGAACCACAGGCGCAGGGACTTGTCCCAGGAGGCGGTCACGTAGGTATCGCAGTCCTTGACATAGCCGATGCCCCGGATGACGTCCGTGTGGCCTGCATATCTGCGCCAGAGGGACAGTAAGGGGAGTTCAAAAAGTTAACCCAGGTTAGAGAGGATGGCTTTGAAGGCAGGTCATACCAAAGGCCCTTGCGGCACCCTGACAGCACGTGTTATATTTCGCCAGGCCTCCTGTAACACCCCGCACACCGGCTCCATGAGCCTGGTGTCATAGCGACCTTACGTACATGAGGCATTACAGGCATGGCCTTGCGTGCTCGGCCGACGCTCCAGGGAACGCCAAGCTGTGCCGTTCCGTAGCCCAACCACCCAACCCAGGGGCCCATACCTTGCCAGCGGCATGGGGTCATCCAGGTCGTACACGAAGGCCGCGCGGTTGAGCATCGCCGCCACAAGCAACCTATTTGTGTTATCCACGTAAATGCACTGTACGCTGCCGCCCGTGTAGGTAAACTGCTGCAGCTTGTGCCCCTCGGGGCTCCACAGCCGGATGGTGTCATCGTCAGCTGCCGTCACCCAGCAATGCCGGAACTGCACCCACCGAACCTGCGACGAGGAGTGTGTGTGTGTGTGGATTTTCGCACGGTGCGGCCACCGTTGTTTGCACGAGTGGTTCTGGCAGTTTGCGGTGAGTGCGGTGGGGGTTTTGAGGAGAAGCGCAACCAACGCGCCCTGGTTTGCATTGTGAACATGGGCCCTCAGTAGGGCTCAAGGAAACCAGGCTCTCGACCCCCAAGTTTCCGTCCCTCGTCCCACAAGCCCGCGGGCCCCACTCCGGCTCCACCTGTGTCACTTCCGGCACGTCTCGGTTGGCCTGCTGGATGGTCTCCAGCACAATTCCCGTCGCAGTGGGCGCCAGGTCAGATTTGGTGAGCCAGTTCATGTTCGTCTTGGGGGCCCAGTTTGAGGAAGCGGGGTCCTCCTCTCCGTTAGCGTCCGGCCCGTCCGCGTGGTCCAAGCTCAGCACGTGCTTTACCTGAGAACATCGAGCAGCGGAAGGCGAGGAGGCATCACACGGCCGAGGCTTCAGGCGTGTAATGCGATCCATAGGTTTGGGGCCCGTGAACTGGAATAGTGGCCTTAGTCCGCCGCGATGGACAGATCTGCTTCACGGATCCAATCCTTTCGTATGCTTTGAGGCTGTGCCGTTGGTCGTAGTGGCTACGGCGGGCACAAACTGGTGAGAAGTCGGAGCCATACACCATGACCTCCCTTTCTAAACCTCCAAGGGGCAGTCGGCAGCGGCTGCGTGCTGGCCGCAGCATGTCAACTTCGCCGGAGCTAGAGAAACCTTATCCCACGCGGCATGGACCACCTACCTGCGCTGGCTTCCGGACACTCCAAATCTTGACCTTGTTACCCATGCCGCACGTGGCCAACTCATCGCGCTCCTCCGAGTATTCAAGGCACTGAAGTGGAGTGTCGTGCGCGTTGAAGACGCACTGCGGCAGCAAATCATCGGAAACAGCAAACGTGCGCGCGTTACAGGCGCCAAGGTCGGATAACCAAGGTGCGGTTCCTTGTATAGCAAGAGCTTCTTCCATAACGGCTTCTCGGCACTTAGACTAGACGTGAGGCCCCGAGCCCTAGCTAGTCCCGCCCTCAGTCCTCTCCCTTCTCACCGCCACCGGCTTCATGGTAGTGAGATCCCAGATCCGCAGCGTCTTGTCGAATGACGCGGACGCCAGCAAGTTGTTCCGCAGCAGTGCTAGACCCGAGATGCGGCCCTCGTGGTCGGTGAAGTCCGTGGGCAACGGTACATCGTTGTAAGTGGGAACCACACCTGAGGGCAGGTGCCAATGACACACCAGAGCGCAGCGACCACGGATGAACCCGTGAAGGGCAGTGTCCAGCCGGACACCCTGCCAGACTCTAAAAACGCTCCCATGGTCCATGCGTCTACTCACCAGCCATACCTGGAGAACACAACAAATACTGACAAAAAGAGATGGAGAGATTCAACAGACAAGCGGGGGCCCGTATCACCAGCCGTATAAGGAATATCACGCAAGTAACCATCGTTCCATTCTCTTGTTTACCCGTCCATCCACACGTTCACCGATGCCCCAGCAAGCTAGTCGGCCCCACACAGCCAGCCAAGTACACAGCTATCAACCATCCAGCCAGCTGGCCAGCTACCCAGGCCTTACTGTGTAGATAGTGCAGGTGGATGGTATTGTCCTCGCTGCCGGTGATGAGGCAATTGAGCGAGGGCGAGTAGACCATGCAGTAGATGTTCTTGCTGTGCAACTGCCACTCCTCCATGCACACATATACGTCGCAGTTCTGCTCCGCATCCAGCTGCCATCGGAGCACCTGCGGGTCAGGGCGAAAAAGGGAGTAAGATAATGACGCAAACCCAAATAGGCCCACCAGACATGAAAAGCGTTGAGGGTTCGCGGGATCCGGGTTCCGGGTTCGTGAGTGCCAAGCAGCTGCGAGAGCTGCGCCGAAAGCGGGAAGCGGCTCGCAGTCAGTCTCCTCTGTGCCCGGTTTGCTTAAATCCCTCCCACCCTCCCTCCCAGGCTGTCATTGAGGCAATTTGCACAATGCGCACCTTTCCATCCGCACCACATGAGAAGATCTCGTCCGGCGGCGTCTCCTCGTCCTCGTCATCAGGCCGCTCCTTGGCCGGTGTCACCACTATGACCCCCTCCACCCAGTCTTCGTGCTTGCGAAATGTCCTGGAAAGCCAGAAGCAGGGAGTGGACTGGTATCTGCTTGTGCAAAAGGCCCGCCCGTGCATAGCGCGTGCGGCACGGACAATGCCCCGGCCAGGATACGGTCCCCCGTTCTCCCCCAGCTGCCCTGCTGAATACATTTTTCCACCACCAACATTAAGAGCATTGACCCACCCAGTTACACGCGCATAGAAGTCCGCCACAGCTGCTGCAGCATGCCCAGCATCCACATGGCCCTGCATGTAGCAAACCCCCCGCTACCCCCTACCTGTACGCCCCCATGTGGTTGTACTGCCACATGATGAGCTGTCGCTGCTTGGACGCCCCCAGCAACATATCGGTGCCCATGGGAGCGTACATGTATTCCACGTTGTAGCGATCCAAGCCGCTGCTTTCCTGGGGTTGGAGGTCAAAGAGCGGAGAGGCTCAAAGAGGGACGTACAGTGTCATCTCCTTATCCTCTTTCTCCCTCCCTTTGCAGCGGACATGCACCTGCCATACAGCTTCTCCGTATGTTCACCCTTGCAGTCGCATCACCAAGCCAGGGTATCTCCAGACGTGCGCCATCCGTGCCGGGTAAGATGCGACGGTCCATCTCTGGGCAGATGTCCAACGGTCCATCTCTGGGCAGAACCCAGTTGCAAATATCGCGGTGCCGGTGAAACCCTGTCATTCTTACATCCTCGGCTAGAAGGCTCCCGGGGATCTACAATGAGTTTCACCAGGCACCCCCTCGGGCATCAGAAACATCACCTACCTGCACGTACTGCGTGACGTTAGCAGGAGCGCGCGGGTCGTAAGCCACGAGGCGACCGAACCGGCCGCTAGCCCAGTACATGTTGGTAGACGGCACATACGCCACCGCTACAGGCTGGTCGTTAATGGACTCGAATTTGTCTAACAACCTGCCGGAAATGGATGCCAAGCCGGACAGCCAGCCAGGAGCCTTAGGGTCCATAAAGCATGTGGTCCAGGACCTCTGGCACCGCCTGATACCTTGGGTTGTGCTAACGGCATCACCCACACAAATGATTCTCGTTCGCGGCCGAACCCAGCGCGCCAAGGGACCTAATGGAGAAAGGACTTTGTGGTTCTAGCTCATCCCGCCCTCGCTGCGCAGCGACGGCGCATTAAGACCCAGGCCACACGACATCCACACACCACTCGGCTCAGTCACCCATCTACCCGGCCGCGTTTGACCCACATCGTCCTTTTCTCTGAAGCTTAGGGCCTCCGGCAGGAATGCGGATGACCCCAAAAGCTCCCCCGCGCACGCTGCGGCAGCTCACCCACCTGCCCTCCATGCTCCAGACCTTCATGGAGCCGTCGATGGACCCAGTGAGGATTGAGTTGGTGTACGTGTCGTACGCCATGGACACAATGGCTGCAGTGTGGCACTTTTTTACGCGCTGGAACGCCTCCTTTGGCTTATCCAATTTGTCGTACTCAAACATGCACATACATTTATCGTACCTGCGTTTTGAAAATGCAGCAATCAGGCAGGCGGGAGTTATACGCCTGTAGTCTTAGAGGGCCGACCTATTTGCTAAAACCCGCCTTGGGACCAGATCCCTTGCGAGGGACACACCACCAGCGGCTGGTGCTCAGTGTTCAATTGGGAGGGTAAGAGTATGGGCGGGTATAATCCAGTATTTTCATGGCAGAGCAGCTTCAGCCGGCGATCCGCTTTTTAATACATCCTGTGCTGATGCGACCATGATACTGTCCCTGCTCGTTTGTGGACGTTGGTTAATGGGACCCTCACTTTATACATCTTTAGGACTTACCCTCCTGTGACAATTTTTCCCGTTTCTGTGATAATCATGCAGGAGACGACGTCCGTGTGGCAGAACTCCGGGCCACGGAAGGGGGGATAGAGCCGCTTCAGGATTTGCGGAGGGTCTAACGCCACCGTCGTGTCCTTAAGCCCCGAAGCCACGGACCTCTGCTGCTGCGTGGTCTTGCGGGCTTCTAGCAGGTCCACCTTGAACAGCAGAACGACGGCATTACCGCCAACCGCAAGGTATCGGCGCTTGCTGTCCCACGCTAACGAAAACAACGGTCCGATATCCGCCGATGCCATCTGCACCCGAGGTACGGACGGCTTGTCAAGCGACCCGAACTATGGACACCGACGCTATACTTGGTGGACAAAGTCTCGACTGACATGTGACGACATCCCCCCAGCCCTTGCCTGCAAAAGCACGCCTTTATCTGTCCATATCCCAATTGTGTTGTCTATGGAAGAAGAAAATAGCAGTTTGCAGGTGCTGGAGTACGCCAGGCACGTCACAGCTCCTTTGTGGCCACCTTGGGTGCGTATTAGCGCACCGGTCTTCGCGTCCCACACCTATAGTCGACGAGTTTCGTTGATCAGATACCAAATACGCCGACTGAAATACAACGGGTAATTTTGCTCACCCGGATGACCTTGTCGCCATCCGCGGAACTATAGAGCTCCTTCAGGACGCGGTTGTATGCAATGCTGCTAACAGGAGACTCATGAGCCTCCTCCACAACTTTGATTATTTCCATCGCCATTTCGCCTTCCTGTGTTTTCAGGGGCCCTGAGGCAAAACTGCATGGGCTGACTTTTACATAGAGCAGATAGCAGAGCGTGGCTCCACGCTGTATATAAAAAACGCTTCTGCTGCCCACAGCCTACAAGCAGTTTTTAGGCCTTCCTGACAGTTGGACTTGGTAGTGGAACCAATGTTGCGTACGGCAATTCCTCTCCTGCTGTCTTGTGCTCGACATAAGCCTGCGAGACATATTGTGTGGAATACTAAAGTTTGTCGACAATCATGAAGTTGCGTTCAAACTGCCATCCTCAAATTGTGAGGCAGCCTCCCCGGCACCTTAATTGGGGGAAGTACAAGAATGAGTACTTGGGTATATCGCAACGTGAAACTGGTATGCCTCCAAATGGCTTTCACTCGTGGATTTACCTGCGAAGGCAAGACGGGTGTGGGCGGGCGTTCGACAAGATTATTGGAACTGTCGAGAGTTTAGCATTATAACGCTGCAGGCTAGCCAATTTGGTTCCAGACGATTCTCGGAGCTTGATATGCCCCTTCACTGGTGGCGTTACCTGCATGGAACTTGACAAAACAGAGGACCGCTTTCTGTTAGCGGCGGCCGCCGACACGACTATCGCGTTATATGACACCCATGTAGGCTCTGAAAAGGTATGGCGTCACCATAAGTTTCATTGGCTTGACGGCCTCCACGACAATAACTGCACTACCTGGCCCATGGGTCATTAAAAAGGCGTTCGTTATCCCCGAACGCTGTCTTAAGCTGCCTTTTAAACACCTTCACTACAAGAAAAGCTGAGTTTGCTTCAAGGCTTACAAGCCATGTACGCGCAATTTTCCGCGTATCATTCTTGTGGCGTGGCGTGGCGTGTTCGGTCGACCTACAGAGTCAGGCGCAGTTAACTTCAAACCGTTAACTTCAAACGTTAAACAGGCGTTGTACCATGTGGTGTCGCATACCCACTATATCGCCCTGCAGGCGACCACGCTCATCGCACCCTTATTCTCATGTAGGGGCCGTCACAACAACGCTGAGCGGGGCCACAAGTATTTGATTAGCTCCGTGGCATGGTATCCTGGTGGGTCCAGGAGTCCCGAGTCACAAATTCTTGGGAATTCCATCTGCAATGGCATCGTTCTAGGGAAGAAGTAGCGTATCTGCTTGAGCTTCTTACCCGCTTACGCTTGCAGTGTCGTGCTCCCCCCACCGCGGCAGAGGGCGGGTGTTTGCGATCTCTTGCACCTCTTAACTTTCTCGTAAAAGGTCTACGTTGTGTGCCTGAACACCACTGTCTGCCTACTTGTATTGTGCGAGTCAAAGGAGCTGCACAGCCTCATTTTTCCACGTGGCAATGTGTGCCTTCGATGCAGCGATTGGGACGCTGACCCCCTTGCACTCGCAGTGGATACCGGGCTATTCGTAACTGGCTCATACGACTGCACCGCCAAGGTGTGGGATACCAACGAGTGAGTAACAAAGAGAAACAGCATCTTGAAACGGAAGTTGGATCCACGCCGCCCGGCCCCAAGGGTCATATCTTGCATGGCAGCCACTTGGAGAGCGGCCACTGAGTACATATGCGACAGCTAAAGGTGGTCAGAGGGGTGTGTGACAGGAGCAATTCGCATCGTGCCGCTTCTGCCGGCACTGTCCCAGCGGCAATGCTTGGCTGCTAGTGCGAGCATCGCTTCGAGTGTGTCCCTCCCTTGCTTATACGGTTCCTCAGTTAACATTGCGCCAGAGGCTCGTGTTTATAATTATGCGGATGACATGTGGACTGAGATGGGGCCGCGTGATGCGCAGCTTTTTCCATAACATCCGCATTCCCCATGTTGCCGGGATGCAGAGTGCAGGTGGTGAACACTTTCCAGCTACCCAAGAAGGTAACGGCAGTGGCCATGTCGCTAGTGGCGACCTCACACACCCTCATTGCAAGCGGCTGCGAGGACGCGCACGTACGGCTGTGCGACCTCACGTCAGGCGCCGTCACCCACGTTTTCTCGGGGCACAGGTGCGGCTGCCCCGCCCGGGCTCACGAAGCGTGGTGGACTAGCTGATTTAGATCATCGTCTGACGGATCTCAATCATGGCTGGAGGCAAGGATGGCTGAAAGCAAGGCTCAGGAGCAGTGAAGGATTTCTAGGGGAAACATTTCGATAAGGCGCGCATTCATATGTATTGTTCGTCCACTGTCCTCGGCTCGTCTTGCAGGGATTCGGTATGGTGCGTGGCGTGGTCCACCAGCAGCGAGTACGAGGTTCTATCTGGAGATGGGGCCGGCCAGATCCGGCTATGGGACATCCGCCGGTCGGGCTGTCGGGCCGTGTTTGACCAATACTGCACGCAGCGACTCGACCGGGCGCGGTCCATGGAGGAAGATGTACCGCCGCCTCCTGTATCGCCCGCCAAGAAGCCACGGCGCAGTGGATCCTCAGGTGGGTCTATGGGACGCACCGGAGGCGTGCCACCACCACAACCACCATGATGGCGATAGTCGGGAATTTGGGATTGTTGGGTGCAGCGCAGGTCCAGGCGTGCGGCATGGCTTTTCGCATCAAGGCATTAGTCTGGGGCCTCGAAATGCGCATTTGCACGTCCGCTGGTGGTGCCCACGGCCGAGCTTCTGATGCAGGACTTGTTCTTGATGCGCCGGCAACTCACGGTTTTGGTTGGACCCTGACATCTGATGCCGTCCGCTGTGTCCCGCTGTCAGGGCCCATGCATACTGCTAAATCGGCACCAGCGCTGCTTTCAGCCGAGCCAGTGCCATCTTCGTTCCGCATGAAGGAGACGGCGGTCCGTGCGCACAGCGGCGCAGTGACCTGCCTGTTGCCCTGCCCTGACAGCGTAAACCTCATCTCAGCCGGCACGGACAGCCGCATGCGGTTGTGGGATGCACAGTACCGATACAACAAGTTGGTGGGCTATGAGGGAACTTATAATCGTGCCTTGCGGGCGCGGCAGGTAGCTGTAACGGACGACGCGCGCGTTGTATTTTATCCAACTGGGACTTCCGTGAACGTGTATGAGGTAGAAACTGGTCGTATGCTAGCGAGTGTTCAGGGAGCTCATACCGAAACGATAAATTGCTGTGCATACAACCCTTCCCTGCGTGAGCTTTATAGCGGGGGTAATGACTGTAAGCTGCGCGTATGGTCGATGCGCGCTGATTCCCATGGGTGTGTTGATGATGACGTGGGCTGATTGGCATCAGGAGGTAAAGCTTCTAACCAGACGTAAGGTATGCCTAAACGCTGGTAGACCCATGAACCATGATGACAGGTAGACGCCTCAATGATATGCGGCGAGGGTGGCTTACACAAACGTCATCAGTGGTTCGCTTTTTTCCTCATGCTAATAGACAGGCAGTCCTATGACGCAGCACACTCTTGAGGCCCAACCTATTAGTGGATTTCAGCTATGGTGGTTTCTACATGCGCTTTGTGTTCACCACCCCGGCCCTTCGTCTCCCGCTCATGCAACAGCTCATATTCAAACAAATCTCCAATATTATTAGGTCACTGGGTACAGCCTTACTGCACCATTACTCCGTCTTTTTCTTACTGTGCTTCTTGGACTTCATTATCCCTTGCACCAATAACCCGGTGAACACCATTCCCACGCCAACCCACTGGTTGAGGAGTAGTGGGTTCCCGTTCCACAGCACCGACAGCAGGATGTTGAAGAACTTGCGCGTCGTACACACAAGTGTGTTTACGAGTGCCCCGAAGGTTTTGATGGTGAAGAATATAAACAGCTGCCCAACGGCACCACAAAGGCAGAACAGGATTATATCCACAAACGCGTCCGGATGGCGCGAGCAAAACGACACGAGCTCCGCTCCCGACCCAGTCGCCAGCATGTACAAACCATAATACAATGCCGTCCAGAAGTTCATCCAGCACATCATGTGGATTGGGCTGTTTTTCCTGTGCCGCTCGTTGATGTGGTCCTGAGCAGCGTTTGTATAGCCGTCAAAGGCCAGGTTGACGAAACACAACGTGTAGCCAAGCAACGGGTTGGGTGAGGCCAGCCGTCCCGTCACCTTGCTGCTGCCTTTTTGAGCAAATGCAGCTACGCCCAGGCCAATCAGCGTCATGCACACGTACTCCAGGACGCTGTACCGCTTGCCGTGTAGCACGACACCCATCAGCATGACAGGGACCATCTTGCAAGATTTAGCGAGAACTTGCGCCGAGTAGGTGATGTTCTTAAGCGCAATCATGCCGCACGCCGGGCCGACGCAGTTGGTGATTCCAGCCCGCCAGTAGTCATGCCATTTTGCCAAGTCGCTGCTGGAAACTCTTCCCGTTAGCAGCAGTACTTGCAGGATTACGCCCGCCCACAAAAAACATGTCAGAGCCTGCGCGCCGTTCAAGGCTTCCAAGTTCTTGAAGCGCTCCTGTTGATCACCATAGCGCTTGATTGCTAAATGCTCGTTGACGACGCCTTGCGTCAAATATGAAGCGTATATCCCGGCGACACAAAACAGCAGAAGCAGCACGGTGCCAAACTTGCTTCGGGTTTCCATTGATTACACGCTGTCCCGCCGGGGTAATCAACAGCTGCCAAACCGGACCAAAAACTATTTTCAATCAATTCAGAATTGTCGTCTTACTTTAAAACAAACGAGAGCTGTTACACTCATGAAGCGACTGCTTCGTCAATTCAGGTAAGGAAAAACATGGGATGGCGTAACCTAAAAGCGCTTCCACAGCACAAAACAGCAACCATAGCGCTTCTTCAGCACAAAACAGAACATAACCTTGATCCTTCTGTCTTCAACGGCCTCACAATGTAGTTGTACGACGGTCGTTGTCCTGTGTTTCACGCACGCATCGCTTGCGCAACGAGCTCCTTACATTGGGAATTCATCACCTGTAAATACTTAGATGAGGTTAGTCAAAGGCGGGTTGCAAACGAACTGTCAAGCGATAGCAAAATGTCTGCAAGAGGTGCACCCAAAATAGCGCTTACCAGGCCCGAAAAGATGTCACGCGCCACAATCCGACAGTCCTGGTCCTCTTTCTGTTTCATAATAGCCTGCGATACAATGAAGGCTTGGTCCGCGTAGATGCCTCGACTTTGCCTAACGCAGTGCTGTGGGGTTGACTGCGTATACGAATGAGTGCTACGTTTGGGCGTTGTGGGCCTCACCAACAAGTTCGAGACTGCAACCGCGTTCCTGGCCACCAGCAGCTGGTTGTCGTTGCTCTTCGACAGCAGCATACCCAGGCCCATCAGAGAGCGCACACTGCATGCCAAGGGTTCCACTGTAAGACCCGTGGCGTCGTATACGGCATGCGCGCGTGCGCATCAACACTCTAGACCTGAGTGCGGCTCACCGCACGTCGTGATTGGGCGTGGCAAGCAGCGACGCAAGCTTCTCCACGGCTCCCTGCGTGCAACCCGGAGTAGAATGAGTAATGAAGGGACAGACACATAACGCGCCGCGCTGTTGAGGAGGAACCCATCCCTTGGGAATTGCACAACATGCCAGCAGTGTAAAACGGTAGACATAGGGGTGTACGTACCTGCTCTGATAGGCCGGCACGCGTATTTTCAGCGCACGCCACCGCACACAAAACGTCCGCAGCAGCTTCCTGAAGCCGTACTGGCATTGACGTGTCGCAGAGCCGCAGCACAGGCGCTAACCCTGCAAACGGGTGCACAAAGACACATGTTCGGTCGTACTTGTCCTGTCTAACGAAGCACGCTGGAGGTCTGAAGGCAGCTCTCGACCCTTAGGGTTAAAGGCCGCGACTGCCGGCGGCGGCGTATGCAAGGCCCTGTAGCGGCTGGCGACGGATCGGTTACGTCGGCTGCTAAAACACGACGCAGCAACATTTTCCCGTCCCAATCGCACCTCCGCCAGCAGTAAGTGCCTCCGCCTCGCCCTCTCTATCGCGCAACGCCTCTGCCAGGCATGCCAGGGCGTTCAACTGCAACGTCCGTTCCTCCGTGTCCGACACGGCAGTAAGGAGTTGCTGCAGCCGGCGCACTAAGCCATCATCGACAATCCGTTTCTGGAGTTCGTCGGAGATAGCCATTAATCCCGAGAGCACAGCGCATGCGTTCGCCTGAAGACAGTGTGCGCAACAAGAAGACTAACGGTTCCATCTGCAGACCCTCCGTCTATTACACGTGAAGGGCTTATGAGCGAAGTCAGAAGAAGTGAACGTCCTTTTACATCGCTACCTGCATGCCCCGGTCGCCACTGTCGTCCAGCATTGCAAGGAAAGTCGGTATCGCGCCGATTAATTCATCGGGTACCGAAGCTTCTTGAAGCTGTGTCAGCAGGATGCATAATCCAGCCATTGCCTGTGCCTTTCGTGCATCATCATGCAAATTGCCAACTTCTTCTCGGATATGCCACTCCACAGATGATTGTATGATGGAAGCGGTATCCATAATAGTAGTCTACTATACCACGTTACAACAGAAACGATTGCCGGGTGCTAGAGCAGTTCAGGGTGCCGACCCAAAGTCTTCGGAGCGAGCGGGAAGGATCCTGGATGTGTCACTTTCGGGCAGAACTCCAAGCTTGCTGAAACTGATTTTCGGTAGTAGTTTATTGAATCATCGTCAGCATGTGTTAGATCATTTAAAAGGATTATCTCGGTCGCCTCGACATGGACGTCGAGGCTGCGACTGTCGAAGACGCTTTGGAAGATGTTGAGCGCAAGCGACACAAGAAAAACCCTTGGGATAGTCGTTATGTTGCTTTCTGCTTATCCGGATGGAAGCCATTTGGAACGGTGAGCTGCAGTCATGGCATGTTGGCGCCTGGGCAACCCGCTCTCTGTTAACCAAAGCCGACCTGACGGCATCAGCATTCATTTAATCGTATAGGTACAACCTGAGCCCAACCAACCAGCAGTCCTGGCTCATCAAAGGCAGCTGCAGCTGCAGCTGCAGCCAGCGAATCGCCGGACAGCTGCTGTTGCAGGCCAGCCCAGCCAAAGTTCCGCTTGCGACGAAGACGCCGATGATGACAGTCTGGCGGTCATGGCCCAGGCGCACGCGGTTGCATCTGCCTCGGCGCAAATCCATGCGCGACTGGAGGTATTCATTCGTTGCAGGAGCGCTTTGCTAAATTGCACATAATTGGTATGAATCGAATGACTCTTGTAACGAGCACGGGCTGACTATGGCACTGACCAGCATACCAGTACACAGTTAGAAAGGAAGTCCGGTTTTGCAGACGGATGCGGTCAGACGGAACCGCTTTGATCGTGGCCTCTTGGATGTTCTCATGAGCGTCTGCGTCCATCTATGCTCGATCAGACCACCCTTACTTCTCCTGCTCCCAGAACTTGACAACCTGGTCCCGCGCTTCGCATACGCGTCCGGCTTGAATATGAGACATCAACTCGCACATTCTAGCTCGTCAAAAGATTGGCAATTGGTCACATGCACCGACCGTCACCGACCCACATCGCTTCTGCGTCAGCTGACGTCAGCTCCACCGAGCCAACGTGTACATCAGTTCCAGCAGCTGGTTCCGTAGCCACCGTCGACATTCGGCTTTCCATCATGCGCTTCACACAAGAGCTATGTCTAGGCCCAGGACCCAAACCGTCATGTGTGCAGTTTGGGTCGCGGGTTTCCTGGGTCCACGGCCCGCATGTGTTTCCTGCTGGCCCCCTTTCCGCTTGCTACTGCTACTGCTACTGCTGCTGTTGCTGCTGCTGAACGGCGTTGCCAACGCTAAACCCGATGCGTGTTGATACCCGGCACATCCTGCCTCCACTCCACCGCAGCTCATCAAGAGCATGAAGCAGGCCCTGGTGAAGCAAACGACCGAGGCCGTGAGGCACATCGGCAAGGAGCTTAAACGTGCGCCACAACGGGGAGGCCCGGCCACTGGAGCCGCTGGCCCAGCGGCTGCGGCAGGGTCGGGGCCTGGGACGGGGTCTGGGACGGGCCCCACTTCCGCGGGCTGTGATGCTGCTGACGATGGTGGCCGCGACGACGACGGTAGGTTGTCTGCGACTTCTTGGTATGGTTACCCTTATGCAGGGATGCTTGCATACAGGCCTGTACCCTTAACGCATATCCTCGAGACACCTCATACATGGGAACGTGTATGCCGTTAGGCCGCTGTAGCACCATTCATACTCCATGCACTTGACCGTTGGTCGTTCTGTTCCCCGCAACTGGGACGCGGCCCCTCCTCTTCAGGCGGTGAGATCGACCCGCCCGATCCACGGCTGCTCTCCCGGCTGTCGGCATGTCTGGCAGTGCTTCGAGGGGAGGCTAGCCTGTGGCCTGGGCAGCTGGTGGGTGGCTGGTTGCCTAATTAGGAAGCAATGTTACAAGGTGGCCCAACAATCACTAGCTGTACAGGCACAGCAGATTGCTCGCCCTACCCCGGGCACAGGAAGAGCCTTATTACGTCTTGTGGCGGGCCGCCAATAGCCTTGATAGCACTAAATGTGTTTCATCAGCCTTTATAACTAAATGACCAAGAGAAAGGGAAGCCGTAAAGGCATGTCCGAAAAAATGATTTTTATGTTGTTAAGTCACTTGAGCACCACGACCCAGGCGGTTCCTGGCTCACCTGCCTGGCGATATAAAACGCATTTGGCAGGTTATGCGTTCTGGGGAGGTTGGGAGTTGGAGGTATCTGGTGATGCCCCTGAGCGACCAGAGAGGGTGGGCGGTGACCATCGACAATCTGACTGCTGTGCTGCTGGCTGGTGGCCCATCCGTTGCTGTGTCCTGGGAGTTTGTAGCATGGGCAGTGCCATGGGCATGGGGGACCCGTTCGGGATCGTCGTCCGGGGCCTCGCACGGGACCCAGAGACGCACACTCGCTCGGGGCCCACATCATGCGCTGGCGTCATCGCACGTGGGTCACGAACCCCGTCAGCCAGTGATTGCGCGCTGCCAGGGCAACCAACGCCCCGGAACTTCGAGTGCTGCTCTTGCCCTTGACCTGTGGACCTGACCTACATACTCACGCGGGCTCTTGCTGCTGCTGCTGCCAGCCCATTAAAGCCAATCTACCATACTCAGCCCCATTCTGCCAAACCCTGCCAATCTTATTTTCTGTTCCATCCCGTAATCCCATGTCGCACATCCGTATACGCCTTGTGCGCCGCTCCGCAACGCCGGTAACTCTCTTGGCCAACCGAACTGCACCGCACCGCATCGGTCTGGCGATGTGGAACTGCGGGTCCAGGTAGCTGTGGCGCGGCGGCAGCTACTAGGCAACGGATTGGTCGCCGCTACAACAACTGCTACAGCTACAGCCTTTGCTACCGCCGCAACCGCGTCCGGCGCGGGACGCTTGGCGGCCTTGTCGAAATCCGAGCCTTGCACCACCTCGCCTTGGAGCCTGGACTGGGACTGGGAGGGGTGAGCACTCGTGTGGGTCTCCCGCCATGTGCGGCCGTGCGATATCCAGCTGTTCCATATATATAGGCATGTATGCATGTTAGTTAGATAGTTAGTCAGGTCCCGAAGCATTCTATCACCGTCACCGCGACTCAATTGTATGACTGAATGAGGACGTGGGCGCAACGGTCATCATACCCTGCCGCAGTGACGCTCGCGCCATCGCAGCGGCCATGAATCACCAAAGCCACATCGCAGCCGCCGTGTATGAGTGGGCGCCGGCAGCAGCCGCAGCCTCCACCGCCGCCGCGGCGGCGGCTGCAACCAACCCAGCGGCGGCATCGGCGGCGGCTCATTCTGCAGCTGCCGCCACCGCCGCTGAACCGCCGGCAGGTGCTTGCGACTTCTTGACAGGGCTGCTCGATGGTATGCCACCGGAGGCCGAGGAGGACCTCATGCAATGGGACGACAGAGAGGAGGCGGAACAGCACCCACACCATCATCATGATGCTGGACACCCACATCGGCTTGGCGGCGAGCGGCGAGGTCGGCGTATGCAGCCGCAGCCGCAGCCGCAGCAGCAACCGCAGTGGGCAGGAACGGAAGAACATATGGATCACTGGCAGCACGTGTTCGGCGCGGATTGCGTGGAGGCGGCAGAGCCCGGCAGCGAGGGCGCAGCTGCGACCAGACGAGACAGCACAGATGGCGGCCGCAGGAGCAGCGTTGGCAGTGCCGGAGGTGGCAGTGGCGAAGGTGGAGGCGAAGGCGGCTGCTTCAGTGGGCGGCGCGGTCCCCAGCTGGAGCTGCCTCAGGCCGCAGCTTCGGTCTTTGGCGACGAAGAGGACGTGGGTATTGGCAAACGAATCGCGCGAAGGGGGAAGGGGGGTCGCGTCAGATGCATGATGCTTGTGAACAGTGGACGGTATAGCATTGCCATACGGTACATAAACCATCGCTCCTGCACCACCACCTGGGTGGAAACGAGCAAAACAACCTTACGAGGCCGTCGTACCTTTTAACGGGTCTTTGTTGGTGCTGAGTTTTCACAACAACAGGGAAGGTTGTCCGCGGCGGCGGACTAGGTAAATATGGAGCCCGGTTTACGGTACGGTGTTAAACACAGCAAAGCGCTGGGGGCCCCCCGGGTCCTATCATTTCGCTGTCACCATTTCCTGGTATATGTATATGTGCCGATTATTTTCCGACGTACGGCAAAGGGACAAGAGCTCGAGGGGGGAGACACACATGGATGCACACATGGAGTAGGACCCATCCGCCACAGCAGCTGAAGACCGACTGCATTGCTCTGGGAGTTTCATTTCCTTGCATGGGGTGTGGGGGGATGGTCATGGCGCCGTGCATGGTGGCAGGTCACGTCCATCCCAATGAAGTGCGGCAACATGTTTCATAACAACGAAAACCCCGTAACGAAGACAACAACCCAACTGACGACCCACTGAAACTCCCGTACACGTCCCACCCTAGGTGCCTCTGCCGTACTATTTGCTGGACCCCGCCCGGCCGCGAAATGTACAGTCGTCGCGGCCGCCAAAGCCGCCTGTCCCACCACCCGGCCAGAACCGGAAGCAGCAACTCCAAGAACAGCAGCAACAACAGCAACAGCAACAGCAGCCTCGAAAAGGAGTGGGAGAGCCACAGCCATCGCCAGGTAACGCAATTGCAGCGGGAGCCACTCACAGCCAACTGCCTGACGCCGCGGTCGTGCCGCCGGCTTTGGATCTCGTCGCCGCCATCGGCGCCGCCGCCGGCACAGGTGCTCCCGCGGCCGCAGACGCGGCAGCAGCGGCGTGGGGACCCGTAGGCTGCAGCCCCGGGGCGCTTCCATTCGCTGTCGAAGACGCTGTCGAAGAGAAGGCAGAGGGCCCGCAGGCTCTGGTGTCTGCGTGGGGCAATCGCCCATCCCACGCGGTTGTACGGCACCTAGGTGGTAGGCCAACATGGGCCAGCCGTGTGAGGGCCACCGGGGCCTGGAGGGGTAGCTGGAAGCCCGGCGGTGGCAGCTGTGGCGAGTACGGCACCCTATCGTACGGGCACGCGGCGGAGGAGCTTGATCTGGCAGACATGGAGGAGGTGGTTTGGATGGAGGAAGGGCAGGCGGTTGGCGGCGGCCGTTGCGGCAGAAGTGGCGGTGACGTCGACATGGGGCCAGCGGCGAACCTTGTGCCCGCTGACGTCTACAGGCGCCCGGGCGCCCCGGATTGCTGTGCCGCCTCTAATGATGGTGATGCTCGTGGCTACGCGCACGACGCCGCGGAGACCGCCCAATACGGCATTTGCAGCGTTATTCGCGTCGAGGAGGGCGGTGCTGGGTTTCAGGATGGGCCGGCAGCGGAAGGCATGGATCGAGACGGTACGGCAGCCGACGGTGGCGGCGATGACGACGACGATATGCAGGAAATCCTAGGCCTGGCCAAGGCAAATGACACGGCAATAATCAACGAGGAGGCGGCATGCGGCACCGAAACCATACAGATCCCACAGGCGGCCGACGCAGGTAGGGCAACAGCCTCGGCAACAACAGCACTCATGGAGGCAGAAGCTGTAGCAGCAGCGGCAGCGATGGCAGTAGCTCCAGCAGCAGGGGTTGAGGTGTTGTCAGCCGTAGCAGAAGCTATACGGGATGGCGGCGGGCGCATGTGCGCGCGCCATACAGCGCCATACGGTGCTATACGGGCCCTGGCACCAGTAGTGGTACCTCGGCAGGCTGCCGTACCGCTACTTGCCCAGCGCAAGGCCAAGTATAGGATGGCAGCCCGGCAATGGGCCGCCGCGGAGGCGGAGGTGGGGACGGCGGAGCCGCTGCAACCGCCGCCAGCTGCAAGCCCTGTTGGAAATGGCAGCCCGAAGACGGCGTCAGTAGGACTGCAAGGGGCTGATGTTGAAGCTGGAGAGGCGGCGGCAGCGGCGGCAGCGCCGACTGCTGTGCATGCTGCGGCGGCGCAGCGGCGACCTGTGGTTTTAGCTGTCGGTCGGCACCGCCGCGGCGGCAGTTCTGCCGCCCTCGGACTGTCGGCTGGACCTAATGGCTTACGAAGCATTACGAATGGACACGGCGATGATGCAGCTGAAGCCGACGGTGCCGAAGACAATGATGAGATTGAGAGTGATGACGGGCCTGACGGCGGCTGCCGTACCGCTGCCAAAGCGCCAGCAGTCCTGGGAGGGTCAAAGGTGGCGGAGGCTGAGAGAGGCGCCATGCACGGCGGCAGCGGCGCCGGCGCCACCGCCGGGACATCATCCCAGGTGCCTCCTAGAGGTGCCATACCGCAGGTCATGGCGGTGCGGCGGCTTAGGCGGGGCCCGCCGCTGGCTCCGGCGCCGTCGCAAGGGCGCTCTTCTGTCGCAGCCCTTTCGGGCGCAGCTGCTACAGGAGGAAGCGGGCCATCGTTAGGCAAAGAGCCGCAACTGGTCGCGGTGCGGGCCGGGGAGGGGCTCAACACCAGTGCCGTTGAGCCGCAGCGCGGGGAGCAGGCCGCTGATGGCGCCGGCTTGCCGTACACAGGCCACGGAGGTGGTGGGGCCGGGGATGAGGGCGGGACTGCGGAGGGAGTCATGGAGATGGCACATGGTGGGTCGTCGCAGCGAGAGGGGGCTGATGCAGCTGGCGAGGGTAGTGGAGATATCGCGGGGGGTGGAGGGGCGGCGGAGCGGCAGCTACGAAGACCGGCGATTGGAGGCCGCCGGAGTGCTACAGACCGCGGTGGTGGTGGTGGTGGCGGTGGCGGTAGCAGCGGTGGCGCAGCTCGCGCCGCTGATGTGGACGTCGATGCTGACGCTGACTCTGACCGCGGCGGCCAAGGTAAAGACGTTGAAGCGGTTGGACTTGACGAGATTGTGGACCGTGATGACGATGAGGAGGAAGACAATGCCGCTGCCACAGCGGGCGGCCCAGCCGCTGCAGCCGCCGTACCGGTAACGGCGGCAACAACGTCCATCCGCGTGTTGCCGAAGCTGCGCCGTCGCGGAGTGGATACCGGCCTCGGCGGCAGCAATGCGGCCGCCGCCGCCGCCACGGCCACGGCCAGCAACGGCGCACGTCCTGTACGGCAGCCAAAATTCTTAATCCGAGCGTCTCCGGTGCTTGGGATGGGTGAGGCCCAACTGAGGACCTTGGCTCCCGCGGCGGTGCTGCAGTCGTCCGGATGGAACGCCAAGATACGGTACGACAAAATGTGGCGTGCGCGCTAGGGGCACGGGGCAGGGTTTCGGAGTCGTACGGCAGTGTCGTGCTCTCCGTGCATTGCATGGTGTCTTCGAGGCGGCGCTGCGGCAGGAAGTGCGGGTGCGGGGCTACACCCTCCGGCTGCGCCTCGGCCGAGAAAGCATGCCCGGGGCATCATCGTACGGCTCATGCTACGGGGGCAGCCACTTCTTCTGCTGCCACTTCCGCCACTGGGTGCTCTTCACTCAGCAAGCCGGCAGTCTGGATGAGGGGAAATTGCTGGACGGCAAAGGGTCACGCCCATCCATCCTGCGCTTGCAAAGGCATGCATTACGCAGCCAGCTATACCGACCCATCCGCCGCGCCCAACCCGTTCCCCCTCCCTTGATGCCCATATACAAATCGGATGGTTGGTTTGCTAAGTGCTGCCTTCCCGCGCTCCCCACCTGCCGTACATTACTCGCCGGTTAGGCTTCCGGCTCAACGTTCACTAACCGTCAAAACTAACCTGAAGCCATCCTAACCGCCGACACTGTGGCTGTGCAGGTGTCGCCCCGTTCACAATCCGGAGCTGCTGCTGCTGCCTTCTCAGCCGCCCAGGACTAAGGAGGGTAGTGGCAACACAGGCGGGCGGAAACTGGAGGAGATGATCATTGCCAGGTCCACCGACCCACGGGTCACAGAAGCGCTCGACGTCGCGCGGCGGCTCCTAGCGGCGATGCTTCCAGTGGAACAACTAAAGGCGCTGCCGCCATGGCCACCGCCACCGCCACCGCCGCCAGAGCATCCCGCGCAGCAACAGCATCTGCAACTGCACCGGCAAGGGCAACAAAACCTCGGACACGGCGTTGACCCTCACGCAGCAGTACGGCAGCCGATGCCGCCGCCGGCGCTGGCAGCTTCAGGGACGGCGGCCGCTACTGGCGGTGCCGGCGGAACATGGGACGACGACGATGACGACGATGTGTACAACGAGGCATTTTTTGCGGAGCTTGACCGTGCCGTAGAGGCGCATGTGGCGGCGGCGGGCGGTACGGGTGCAGGTGCGGCGACGGCTGTGCTGAATGTAGGCGGCGTCGCCACCGTCGGCGTGGCACTGACGGCAGCAGATGCTGCCGTCGCACCAGCGGCGACGCTGGCGGCGACAAGGGGAGCGGCAACGCTGCGTCATGAGGGTTTCGCACCGGAAAATGCACCAGCGGCGGCGGCGGCCACAGGTGCCCACCGGGGGCCCCCGACGCCGCAGCTCATCCCCCTGTATGGCATTTGTCTGGAGGAGCCCGGTGGCGAAGGGGACGCACGGGGTGTTGCCAAGGCCCGCGGAAACATGGACACCGAGTCAAACCCTCCTGCTGGCGTCGCCGCCTCCTTTGCGGTTGCAAAAGCGGACACGTCATGCAGCTATCGTACGGCAGATGAATTGCTCGCGGCGGAAATGCACTTGCAAGACGGCGGAAGCGCTGCCGTAACTCCTGCCGGTGGCATCAGCAGCGGTGACGGCGGCCGTTGCACCGCCCACCTGGCAGTTGGCAGTAGCGCCCCTAGGCACCTCCCAGCGACTGCTGTTGAATGGGTACACAGTTCGTACAAGGATACTATGACGGGTACGATTTCAACGGCGGGCATACACAGCGTCGTTTTCACGCCTGCTTGCCTCAACGGCGGCGCCGGACAGATAAAGACGTTAGATGGTTATGGTGACGGAGGGTACGATGATGACGTCGAGGACGTGGCGGTAACCATATGTGACGAAGACGATCGTCCGCCGCTGATGACGCCGCTGATGTACGGCAGCAGGGCCACGGGGTTGCACAGTGGTTGTGCAGGCCATGACGGCTGTGCAGCACCGGCCTCCGCCCCGGCGGCGGCGGCGACGGCAGCGGGGCAGGTGCTGCTGACGGCGCCGCGCGGTGACGGCAGCTTACACAGCCGGACATCAACGGGCGCCGGCGGGCTGTACGGCATTAGTCAGCCGTATTGGGAGCTCACTACCCCTAGCGCCGCCGTTCCGCCGCTGCAGCAGCCCAGCGGCGCTGTACGGCATCAACTTGCTGTAGGAGGCGCGAGGTGCGAACAAAAAGGCTGTGGCGTAGGCAGCGGCCCAGGGAACGGCGGCGGATGGGTAGCTAGCGGCTCAGACTCTGGGTTGGTCGGCCCGAACACAAGCACGGCGGCGGGCGTCGTTGCCGGTGGTGGGTTTACAGGGGCCAGCTGCTTTAGTTCACCTGCTGACGAGGTCAAGCCTTGCAGTGGCGGTGGTGGTGTCCTCCGTGGGCTGGGCGGCGGGTCAGTGTCGCCAAGTAAAGGAGCGGGTTTGCATGGGAGCCAGGCGAGAAAAGCGGTAGCAGGGTGGCGGGGGGGGCCCGAGCTGTTGCATGGCGGCTGGGGGGCATCGGCGGTGCTGCCAGCAGCGGCGGCGGAGGCCGCCGCCGCTGCCGCCGCTGCCGTGGCCCAAGCAGTAGCAGCCGCAGCAGCTTCCGCAGCAGCGATGGTCGGTGCGGATATTCATCTTGAGGAGGAGGCCGTCGCCATTATGTACGGTGATGACGTGGACTTCCCTGACGACTTTGATGGCGATGCCGTCCCTGTCATGTACGACAAAAACGGTGACGATGCGGTCGTGGTGCGGCACGGCGGTGACGGTGAATACGATGAGGGAAACGATGTTGACGTGAAGCTGTTGGGTAGTAGATCGGTTGGCTCCATCGATGGGGGCAGCGTGGATCGATGCGTGGAGGAGCTACAGCATGGAGGTGGCGGCGGCGGCGGCGGCGGCGACGCTGCCGTTGCCGTGGAGTCCGATGCGGACGACACAGACTGCAACGTGGAGGTCGTACTGTCGCCGGAGTGGCCTCGTGTGTACGGCGGCGGCGGTGGCGGCGGCGGCTGCGCTGACGGCGGTGGCAGCGGAATGTGGGACGACGGCATCGGCGACTTTGACTGGAAGAAAGAAGACGGGGACTTCGATTTCTGGAATACGTCAACTCCTCAACGTGGATTGGCAGCTGGGGCATTGGGTAATGGCAAGGACGGTGGCGGCGACACCGGTCGCGTCGGCGGTGATGGAATCCTTTTCGATCTGGAGGTGGCAGTACCAGAGTCGCGCGGTGCGTGTGAAAAGTACGGCATTGACGTTGCTGACTGGGAGGCTGAAGAACCGGAGCTATCCTGCTCGCTTGTGTTTGACTCCGACACGGCCTTGTACGACGACAGCATCATGTTGATGGACGAGCTAGCCGCTCTGCCCGGAGAAGAAGTCAACCAGCTGCGCGATGCCGTACAAAATGCCGTAAACGACGCTGTGCAGCGCGGTGCGGTGTCCGCGGCCGAAGGTGCCGAGGCGGTGGCGGCTCTCAACGCGGCAACGGCGGCGGCGACAGGGGCAGCAGTAGCGGAGCCGGAAGCCGACCCCACGGAATCCAGGACGAACCCACGGCCTGCTATTTCCGCCGCCGCCGCCGCCGTACAGACTGCGCAGCCCCATGGGGGCGGCGTCAAGCGGAAGCGGGAGCAGCTATGGGCCTTATGCATCAGGGTAAGCCGCCGCGACTAAGCCTAAGTGTACAACATGTGCACCCCTGACTGCACTCCCCGGCCGTGAAAGGCCGTGAGCTCTCCGCGGCTTACCCGTGTTACTCCCCGCCTTTCAAAACACTCCCCCGTGTTACATCTGATAGCTGTGTGGTTCAATGTCCCGATGCGTCCTTCCCCTGCGCGCGTATGTATGTCCTATCCGTCCAGGAGCTGCTGGCCGCCCGGCAGCGGGGCCGACTGGACCTGCGGGCCCTCATGGCCACCCTGGCGGACAAGATCAGGGCCGCTACAGCCAATAACACCGCCATGGCCCCCGTCACCGCCATGGCCCCCGTCACCGCCATGGCCCCCGTCACCGCCATGGCCCCCGTCACCGCCATCCCCGTCACCGCCGCTTTGACACTCAAGTCGGCGGTGACGAGCAGTAGTGGTGGTGATGCTGCTGCTAGGGGGAAACCTCCGTCGCCACTAGCCCTGCTATCCCTGCGACATCTGACGGCGGATGCCGTAATCGCTCAGGAGCTGAGAAACTCCTCTTCCTCTGCGGGGGGACGAGGGGGGGGAGCTGCGGGGGTAACCCCAGCGCCGCCACGTGCCACGGCGACGGTGACGACGCACCGGGTGTTCCTGGGCCTGCTCAACTTGGCGCATCAGAACAATGTGGCCTGGCACCAGCAGCGACTGCAGCAGCAGCAGCAGGAGGCGCGTTCGCTGCGTGGCGGTGGCGTGACGGCGCTGAGCCGGCGGTGGGTAGAGGGTGAGATGCGGTTGGTCAGCTCGGGGGATGGCGATGTGCGGATCCAGATAACGTCTGTTGTCTGACGTTGTGATGACCACGATATGGAAATGACGGCGATGTTGAGCTGGGGGGTTTATAATCGCTGCAAGAGGATTTCGGGAGGAGGATAAGGAGAAAGGAAGGGCATAACAACTCCCCAAGGGCATAAAGAACTTAGATGAACGAGAGGAACCTGTATGCACGTGTATGCGGTTTGTACTTTGGTCTGCAGTGATTGCGATGTTGAGGGTTAGAGCATGATTTACTAGTTGAATCATCGACACTTGACTCAGCAACGGGAGTTGGATGAGGCCGCTGAGGAGCTGCAACACGCACTCAGGTGACCAAGCCCCCCTACCCCTGTTGGCGGCGCACGCACATTTGCTACGCGACCTCAATTAGCACCTACCTACCTACCTACCTACCTACCTAACTACGGGGCCGGCAGGATCTCGTCATGCGCCTAAGTAGCCGCAATGCTTCCCCCCTGGTTAAAGGCAGCTGTTGTGGCGGCGAGCCCATGCTGTTGCTGGACACACAATGCCACAGACAAAAAGCGCAAACACAACGCCACGCATCAGCAGCACACGCTATGCAAAGTTGAGCCCCTGGGACATGGGATGCAGGCAGCGAGCCCTGTCCAATCCTCAAGAACTGTTGGCAATTCAGCGTGACCGCATGATTGCCTTTCACAAGCTTTCGTCCTTGTTCGGCCGTGTTCCCGCCTTCTTCTATCTTTTAGTCGTCTGGGTATCTCAGCTAAAGCCATTAGGACTTAGGATCATCACGTCACATCAGGTTTCCCTGGCTGCATTTTTATGGAAAGCCGCGATCCACAGGCGGATCAATCTTACACAGGTCGTCGCTGTGTTCTGTTTTGAACCTTCCTTCGCCCTAATTTCCTTCTGGGCATCCCCACGAAAGATGTTTTACTTGTAGGAAATTGTTCGCCTCGGGGGTCCCACCGTAAGTTATGATGTCTCGCCAGTGCACCGATTTTCAGTCAGTCCCTGCGCAATCCAGCCTACCTATTTACCTGGAAGGTAAATGGGGAAAACAAGTCCGCGATCAACATGAAACATTTGTCGGTTGAACTATGTGGAACAGGTTCCAAGCTCCTTTCGCCGGACGCCATCAATAAGGGCATTTGTAGGCCAATCAGGCGCCAATCAGCTTTCTTAACCTTACACCCACATGAGTCGTAATTCAATTACAAAAGCTTATTACGGGGACAATAATGTAGGCCTGGAGATGTCAAAACCTTCTCACAACGGGCCTTCCACAACTGGCTCGTTCTGCTGCGACTGTTCCATCATTCTACATTCTTTGAGTCTGATCTAGCTACGCTTCATCATGTCAAGCTTAATCGGAGCTATGCTGCGGCACCTGGGATGTCATCGGGTGACATTCCGGTCCCGTAACTAGCCGTGAGACTTATCGAAAAGCTCCTGGTCAGAAGACAATTATTAAAACATTTGATCTGCTAGGTGCGTCAGCTTCAACCCGAGCGCTGCCAGAAGGCTTACTCAGACATGGAACGGCAGCTTTGCGATTGATGCCTTTGAGGCAACGACTAACCCACAATGGAAATTGTGGAAGTACGGCCTGTCTGCCATGCTTATTGGTTTTTGGCGCCAGGTGCAATCTTCCGTACCAATCCTTTCGTCTTCCGGGTTGGTATAAGAGGCTATGGACCTTCTTTTCTCTTTGGTCTGGAAAGCTTATTGCGTAGTGAGTTAGAACCGAGCATAGTTGCAGGACGCACTTGTAAGATCTGGAAATCGCTGGTGCTTCCGATCCACTTTGCCTTCTATAGGTTTTTAGCTGCTTTGGTAATAGCACTTAGTGTTAGAGACTCGGAGTCAAGTCTCGTAACAGTACCAGTGCTTGCAGCTTGCGCGGGCAACGCTTACTGCCTCTTCGATCAGGTTATGAGCCCCGACTAGACAGTCGGCTGTAGAACACAATTGTTTGCTTGCTACGGTGGACTACACCCTTAAGATGGATCAGAGGTTGCTGTTTAGTGA